AACATGAGTTTTAGTCCCAATTCTATCAGTAACAAGAACAACTGCATGGACTTCAGTAAGCAACTTAATTTCTCATCTCTTGGTTCACTCAAGTTCTCTCTAAAATGAGGATGAGGCTCCTAACTTTCTACAAAAGGGATGTTGGGAGGATTAGCTAAATATTTCTAAGATGCTTTGAATAAAGTTAAAAACAACAACCCCCTCCCCCTGCAAAATATCAGTATATTCTGTTCATCTTTGACAATGCTAAGAATAGATGCACTTTCTGTAGTACATGCTAAATGGCAGATTGGAAGAGAATCAATAAGTGAATTCTGTGGGAATAAAGTACTCAGTTCCCTGCAAGATATGGCCCTAAGTATTTACAGACTTCGAAGGGCAATCCTCCACACTTTAGAGCTGTACTAAAACTATTAGCTTTTCTACTGCCTGCCTCCATCTGCTTACTTTCAGCAATTTCTACATACCATCTCACAGAGCAAACTAGCAAGCAACAAAGTGAGAACAGAGTGCACTGGTAACAGCTGGAACTCAAGTTCCAACTAGAGATACACTCATACATCAGTTCGATATCAGATTGGTACTGATATGAAGAAAATTGGCCCGATGCAGCCGATAATTTGACCTATTGCCCATGCATGCGCACAGCCACAGCACAGCACTCGGGCAGTGAGGAGCAGATCCCGGCAGCGTGGAGAGCTGCCTCCAGCTGGTAAGTCCATTGTGGTGGAAGGGGAGGGGGGAGGGAAGGGGCACGGGGAGGGCAGATCAAACCCCTGCCCCCCACAATGAGGGAGGGGGCAGGGACATGTGCTGCCCAGTGGGGGAAAAAGCACATGCCCCAAATCCACGTGGGGCAGGGCAGGGCAGACAGGTTGCAGCCAGGGCTGCGCTCTTCTTGCCTGGGGCTGGGCTCGGGGCAGGGGTTACGGAGGGGGCTACAGCCACCCCAAATTTTGCCGTAGCTCCCTCCCAGCGCCACCGCACACCTGGCACAACCTCGGCTCTTCCTGGCACGTGGGGGGAGGTGGGAGTTGAGCCAGAAGGAGCCGGGGCTGTGCCAGATGCGTGGCAGTGATGGGAGGGAGCTACAGCAAAATCTAGGGTACCTTGCAGCCCCCTCCGTAGCCCCCTCCCTGAGCCCAGCCCCCAGCGAGAAGAGCGTGGCACAGCCCCAGCTCCACTCCACCCCTGTGCAGATCTGGGGGGCACACACCTCCCGGTGCCCTCCTGGGGTGCATGCAGCAGCGGGAGCCATGTCCCCCCCATCCCCAACAAGCCACAGCTCTGTCCTGCGCTCCGCTCTGCTCCAGGTGGGCAGTGCCTGCCTCTGCTTCCTCCCTCACCATGGGGGTGGGTTTTGATCTGCCCCCCCCCCCCACACAACAGACTTACCAGGTGGAGGCAGCTCTCCACTCTGTATTGGAAATTGGACTGGTATCGGCCAATATGCCTCCTTAAAAATTGGACACTAGTATCAGCCCCAAAAATCTCTATCAGTGCACCCCTAGTTCCAACCAAGCAAATAGGTAGGATAGAAGGCAAACCTGTGGCACACTAAACATTGCCTTATTGCAGTTAAACACTGGCAAACATTATTATTGCTTAAAACAAAAAAAACCCTAGCTCCTTAGCATTACTAAGCTACATAGGAAAGAGTTGGCTACTGTAAGCCTTGAAGTACATGTTAAATCACAAGTTAAAGTATGTGAAGTTCTGCTGCCAGTGTATAGCTCCCGCTCGGTATCTGGAGGTGTGGTAAAAGGAAGCACAAGTGACAGAATGAAGGGCTAGAGAAGAAGATAGGGAGCTAATATCTCTACCATTATACTCTCCATCCTTCTACCAAGGTACTGTAGGTTTGGGTTCAAACACAGCATTGCAAATTGCCCAATTGTCTCTGCGTCTAAAGTGATTTAGAGCATTAGGCACTAGCAGGAAGTAAAGTTATATTTAAAAAAAAAATTGATTTCAGAAGCTCCAGTGTTCCTCTCAAGTATTACAGATTTCATTTTTACTTTACCTACCTATTTTACATATATGCATAAAATATGCACATATATAAAAAGATAGTAAGTGGGAGTTACTGCAGTATCTGCATAGTAGTGATCTTGGCATCATAGGGTTTATGTAAAGCAGTTAAAATAGTGTTGGTGAATTAAAGACATTCAGCATGTAGCCACTCTCTGTTCAACTTACTACCTAACTTGCAAAACAGCAGTTCAGGCTTCTCTTTCCACTGACAGGAAAGGGCTTCTTCTTTCAGGTACTTTTAAACCATCTGGCACAAAGTCTGCCCTATTCTTACTGTGGCATCTAAGGACCACATATTTCAATTACTGTGCCCTGGGAGTTAGCACCTAGAGACATCCTGGGTATTTAATTTGTTTTAGTCGCGTAATTAATGCACAGACTCAATTGTTCAGGTACCAGAGGAATATTACCTGACACTCAAATGAGACTACCATTTAGTTTGTATCACCACTAGGGACAGAACCTGCTAATAGTGTTTTGTCAAGTTGGAGGTTAATGAAAATCCAGTTTAAAGCCTCATTCAGGCAAACATTTAGACAAAGTGTACTTAAAATGGGAGTACTTACAAGACAAGTACATGTATAGGCCTTTGCAGAATCATGGAATAAACATTTAGTGCATTTGGCTCAAGAAAATGCCCCCTAGTTTAATGACAGCATTATCATCCAGAAGCCAGTAAGAGCCGCATCGTGCTCTAAAAGCTTGCACACACTGGCTCTTGGAGTGAAAGTGTGCGGACCAAGACTCTGCCTCGCTTCACTCACCCTCACTACAAAAAAGGAGCAAAAAGACACTTTTAGTTGCAATTGTATAAATACAGAGCAACAGTCAATCAACTGAAGTCAAGTGAACCAACGACCTACACCAGTGTGTGGGGCAGAATGACCCGGCCCAGGTCCAAGGTGGGTGAGCAAAAGGACCTGGTTGTCTCCCCCTTCTTCTGCACAAATTAGAGCCCTCCCACTGCCAAAGTACCCTGGCTCTGCAGGGTGAATAGCTGCAGGTTTCTGACCCCTGACCTATTCCAAAAACCTCAACTTTACTTTCAACATTTGCATCCAAGGACCTAAAACAGCTTTACAAATATCAATGGACTGATCAGCACAATACCCTTGTGATGCAGGACTGTACTAGTGCTCAGCAGTAGAACAGAAGCTGAATATAAGCACACCTGATAAAAAAGTGGTTTGGATACAAGCATTGCTACAAAACCAAAATTTTCTGACTCTGAATCACCTGATACAAGTACACTCTATTCCAACATATACACTCCTATTTCCCTGTCACAATAATGTGTCCAAAGTCAGATAAGTCGCTATGCTTTGTTACTTCAAAGTTTGAAATTCTAATAGGTCTTGCAATTAGTGCAAAAAGATCATTGCCAGCTACCTTTACTAGCCTTAGAGGCCAGAGAGGTCTCATATCTTGTCAAAAATATCTTTGTCAACCCCACTTTAGTCAGAAATGTGATCGGGACATGCTATAAATGCCAAAAAAGCAAATTCATGAGATCTCTGAACTTGGCATAATCACACTTTCAGCACTCAGCTGCATTTCCAATAAAAAGGCATACTTGTGGTATAAGAACATCATATTATGTGCAGTAGCATTGGAAAATAAACTGTGTGTGGGTGCAGCAGGATGCTGCTGCTTATTAGAATCACCAGATTGTAGCAAAGTACTCTGCATGACCCGGTTCTAATAAGCAGCAGACATACTGCATATGAGTATGAGGCATGTATTTAGTTGCTAAAAACAAGCAAAAAAAATCTAACTAAATTGCACTGCTTATACATAACTTATAGCCTGCCTTTTATTTTATTGGGGGGGGGGGGGGGGGGGAAAAAAAGAGCGACA